AGTGCCACGCTTCTAGTAACAAGTGCCTTACTAGTAGTAACAAGAAGCTAGTAGTGCCTTACTAGTAGGGCATCGTTGCCATCAGCGTCTGAAGTGCCACGCACCGGGACCGCGCGTACGGTGCACGGTGTAGGCCTTCTGGTAACACTGCAGGTACAGAGTTGGATGTCGGCATTTTGTGTATGCCTGGCAGTTCATAAGAAGAGCAACAGATGATACATAATGGAGCAACAAGTTTTAAGAAAACGGAGCATACTTCAGCCTAGTATCAATGGCCTCCAACCTACTAGCGATGGCCTCCAACCTAAGAGCGATGGCCTCCAACCTACCTGTTTTTTAGGAAATAGCGCATACTTAAAATCATGTCAAATTGAAAGCTGAGAAGAATTGGATGAACCTCGTGAGAGGCAACGAGGAGGATTCAACAACTCGCCGTCAAGCATAGACCTGCACATAACGAAATTGTAGTTTCAACGAAAACGAGAGAAAGCAAGGAGCCCCTAGTAGCGTCCTTGCTCCTAGTAGCGTCCTTGCTCCTATAGTCCAGGCTCAGTGTTCCCAATGGTTTCAGGCAGAACAACAAAAGACGATTCAGAGATTCACTTTATTCTTTGAACCTTTAGCTTCCGTTTTCTATTGCTTTCTTTCTTTAGGCCTTTAAACCCGTTGTTTTGTAATCCAGATCCTACTCCAGCTCTGCGCGAATGCACATCAGAGACGCGCATCGGGGTGCATGTTCCACAAAACACAGCGCATCACGTCAGCCTCCGCCTTCGGACGTCTTGTTTCAAGCTGCGTCTGGCTGGCTTCCGCCAAGTACCCGGAATGAGAGGGTCAATCTGCAATTGTGTTTCTTGCTTTTGGTGTGCTGCTGAAGCGCTTGAGCAGCACTCAACATGCAAACAAATCTAAGGTATGGCAAAAGCAAGATTGATGTTCCTTGACGCTCTGCAATCTTGCTTATTGCTTTTGAGGTTGCTTTAAAGTGCTTTAAAGCAACCTCAATGAGATGCATGGGTGTGTATCCGCTGACTGATCGAACCAAATATGTTTTCACCCCTCTACTAGGTATCAAAAACCATCACAAAAGACTACAATGGCCAGCGACTGCAAAATCAGCACAAAAACACTGTAAAACACAATGCTTTCATAGAAAAGGTTGACTTTTGGGGGGGTGGGTACCATACACTTAGTATTGACATATGAATGTATGTTCTATGCATCATGATGAACTTAAGCATCATGTCCCAACTTCCGGCCTGCAATGTGATCAGTTCCTGTAGTTTTGTCGTATTCATTACGAAGGTTGTGTTCGATTCGTGGCAGATTCTCGACGCACGAGGAACGAGCGGCCGAAGAGCATCGAAACATCTGCCTGCTTGACGCCAGCGATTGAAACTCGCCTCGAAAAACAGGCAAAAAAAAGACATGCTCTGCACAGTCCCAAAGTGAGATGCTCTGCATATCCCAAACTGTTTTGGGGCACAACTGCAATCGCAGAAAACCACTTACCGCCCTGAGCGCCGCCCTTCACGGATACGTTTCGTGTTTTACACGTCTGGCGGAGAGTCTGCAAAAACTCGATCATCGGCAACAAGAAGCTACTAGGAACAAGTGCATCGTTTCTAGTAACAAGTGCCTTACTAGTAGTAACAAGACGCTAGTAGAAACAATATATAGAATTTAATTAGAATCAAATTAAAATTACTAGTAAGGTCTTCTTCAACAAGTCGACCCTCTGAGCCCCTCGCGAGACCAAGATTGGCCAAATTCCTGGACAGGAACGTCGCTATTAGGTTGGAGGCCATCGCTACTAGGAGCAAAGGGCATCGCTACTAGGAGCAAGAACGCTACTAGGGGCTCCTGGCCGTACTACTAGGAGCAAGTAGCTACTAGGGTGGAGCCCATCGCTAGTAGGAACGACATCACCGAGAGGCACCTGCCCGTGCGGTAGCTTCGCTCTTCCCTCTCGTTGATCAAGGTTCAGGAACCATCAGCCACTGTGAACGTTACAGATTGTGGCTTGTTCAACATCGTTGCAGAGTGGCTCCCGAGCATGAGTGAGCCTCTCAACCCTGTCTTTACAGTTTTCCGCATGACCTGAACTCTTGTGGTGGCCACGCATGGCGATGTTCCTAATAACGATGCCATCCCCAACCACAGGGTATATATAGTATATATCCATATATATATCCTATCTGACTCTCGAGTACTTACCAACTTGATTCCCGCCGCTGTACCACATCGGTGCATCTTGGTGTCTCTCCTCCCAGCGTCCGATCGCTCCGTTCGTAGCGATGCCAGGAGCCCCGAACGTAGCTTCTTGTTACTACTAGCGTCCTTGTTACTACTAGTAAGGCACTTGTTACT